CGATATAAAAAAAAATCATTCGAAATAGTATGACAACCCAGTTTCCCAATAAACTTTTCAGTTTATGGTAGAAAAGTTTTATGCCCGATCAAACGAATCTAGGTTAAAAATGTTAAAATATGGTGTAATTTGAAATGAAAATTAATTACTGTTTAACATACATACATATTATAAGAAATTTAATATTAGGAGACGTTCGGGGTCAATGACAGATTTTAGATAACATAGTCCATAGATGCGATAATGATATTTGCATAATATGTCATCGAGCGATATCAAAATAGAAGATATTACTTGAGAGTTTAGAATTGTTAAATTATACATAATATATACATACGTGATAGATTTGTTCCGGCTTTGAGTATCAATGTTGTGCATATTCGTCATCTTTATTTTCTGACAAGCTTCGTGAATGCCACAGATGATAAACTATAGAGTATAGCTAATAGGTGAAGACGAATGGATGTCATATAATTGTCATTGTAATGTCAATGTATTCACGTCTCATGTGTAATAGATGAGGCATGCTAGAACCGTTTGAAATGTGACTATATGAGACTATATTAAAGAAACCAGTTTGTGTGTAAATGTTATATGATTTCGAGTAGCAATTGAGAATGTGTCTCAATTTTCATTATAGTATCTATTTTACTAATGTTTTACTTAATAGTTACAAAGAGAACGTTGAATTTTAGAAATACAGAAAAAGATATCATCTTAATTGTTTTTTAAATATATATATCGGCGCTACCAGCTTTAATAACGGATGCGACTTGAAAATAATTAGAGGCTGCCATCAATTCTTATTAAACCTCATTAGTATTTATGATTGTTAAAAGTAAAACGAAATCAAAAGAGAATAGAATTATGTTTGAATCAAAAATATGACGTCTGGACTCACGACGGCGGACTCCAGAATTGAGAATTCAGTATTGATAATTCAGAGTTCAGTGAGCGTGTATCATAGAAGCATGTTATTATGAAGAATCTTTGAGAAATACAAGAGCATTAAGATCAATTGCAGTTTCATTTTAAAATATCATCGAATGCTCTAGAAGAAGTGACATTTGTAACAACAGCGAGGCTGGCGTCCCTCTCTTTTAAAACCACGAATCTGTAATAAATCCGATATCAGAAGTGGGATCGCTCTCGTGATCATGCCGGTCTTATAAATCCTATCCAGCTGAAGAAAATAACCATGTGGAGAACTTGCGTACTGAAGAACGCTGAAAGAAAATTTTTTTCATGCCATTCATTGATGTCAATAATGCAGAGCGTGTGCAAACGTTTACAAATAAATCAAGGGATAATATTAAAATTACTAACAAGATCATTTTTATCATCGTTTGACCCCGGTGGTAGTGTGTGTCTTTGGGAATGGTGTCAACACATCTACATGGCTATAAATACGTAGTAAATCAGGAACCATGATTCTCAAATGAAAATGAAATCTTTAAAAGGAGTGAGCTCAAATATGTGAATACGATTGGAAGCCACGTAGTATGGATATTAAGCGGAGATATTATGCGACGATGTGGCACTATAACTGAGATAAGACGGGCACGTTCTAACTGAAGGTTGAGGCCATAGCAGGCTTGACCAAATACTAATACACATCCTGAGTTTCCAGATACCAGCTCCTCTCAACAATTAAAAGAACCTGGCGCGCCGAAGTAAATGATTAGTCCTAGTTGCTCCAAGTATGGTGAACGAGGCTACTTCGCGCCGCGCTGCCCCAGTGTTGAATTCAAGGCCAATTAAGCATGGACCGAACGACACGTGAATATCTGTTCAATCCAGATATGGTTTAGCTCTGGAGTGAAACCGGGGTGCGTTATACAAGAATCAATGGCAAATAACATATCCGGGAATAGAAAACAAATCGTCAACTATTTGCGAGGATTGAGGCCGGGCTCTATTATTCCTATAAATAGTATTATGTAATTACAAGCATCAGCGTACATCTGACAAATTTAGTATCCTTGACGATATTATGAACATACGAACAAGTCAATCCCGCTTTAACAGTTTAGATTACATTTTGACAATCCGTCCGTGGATATCGAAGCAACACATTTAAAACAGGATGGTCGAGGCGGAAAGAATATATAAAGTTGGATTTAAGAGATTTCGAGCTAAAATTTAAATAATTCCAGAATGGAGATTTTATATAAAAAATATCACAGAAAAAGTGAATAGAAACCGAGGAACTACTAATATATAATACTACTACCTAATAGTTATCCGGTGAGCGTATTTCATTTTGTTCAATTTACTTCATTTCAAACGCATTGCGTATTTTGTAGCTAGAAGTGTGATATTCAAACATACTTATATGTATTTTGAGAAATATTACTATAAAAGACGCATTTGGCGTGCAGATCCGAACCATAACAAAAAAAAAAAAAAAGAGAATTATAATAATAAAAAATAAAATGAAAATGACAATAAAAATAAAAAAATTGTTGTAGACGGGTGGAGACGTCTTACGACAAATAATAATAAAACAAAAAAAAAAGAAAAGAAAAAAATAAAAATAAAAAAAATGTATACGGATGGAGACGTCTAACGATGAATAATAATGATGATAAAAAATAATAATAATAATAATAATAATAATAAAAAAAAAAAAGAATTATAATAATAAAAAATAAAAATAAAAATGACAATATAAATTGTTGTAGACGGGTGGAGACGTCTTACGACAAATAAATTAATAATAAAAAAATAATAATTAAAAAATGTTATAGGCGGGTGGAGACGTCCTATGACAAAATATGTTATGAATGTTCGAGTGATGCCCCAAAGCCATAGTAGCTTAGATAATTGGACGTGATATTATGACCATCCAAAGATGTGTCGTAGTAAACAACGTCACCCATACGATCAAAACAAATTTGATATTCATAATTGTAACAATATTAAGTTATCTAGGGTTACTGTGGAAGTACCTAGACTACAAAAGCATTTATCTTTTATCACAGAGCAAACATCAGTATGACCGTATCGGCATGACTTCGGAAGATGAAGCATCAATTCTTGATCCTGTCCCATCTACTTTACGAGACGCGCGACTGGTCCAAGCACATAACGAAAACCAACCAAGAAAGAACACATAACCAGGCAGGTGCAGAGCACGCACCGCCTGTCAGAATGGCCGTATCGGCGCTACCAGCTTTAATAACGGATGCGACTTGAAAATAATTAGTGTTAAAAGTAAAACGAAATCAAAAGAGAATATATTTTATTATGACGGATAGAATTTAGTAATATGTTACGTGTATCATATGTTATTATATGCGAATGATTAAAGTAATCATTATTTGTGTTGAAAACCAAATCTGTAATAGCAATAATTGAGTATTTAAAAGTTACTTTATATTTAAAAAGAACATTGAAAATAAATTAGCTGTAGTTGAGTATAAATGTTATCTTTAAAAAGAACATTGTATAGTTATTTTTGTATCTATATTAAAACTAAAATAATAATATGTTACTCCAAAATTCATCCTCTCTAAAATAATTATAGAAATGTACCATCTTTCTGATCCCCAGAGGTGTGGAACCCTAAAAATGGGCAGAACAAACGGTGCGCTTCACCTACTTGTGCACTAACTATATAATTGCCTCTTACCTCAAATTTGCTTTGCCTTTTACTACAGAGCTATCATTTTTAGACAAACATTCCATGTTAAACATTATAATATATGCGTCATAATGTACAATACACGTAAATACTGGAATAAAATAGGCACAAACGGGAAGTTAAAAAATATAAACGAAGTTTATTGGCCATATTGGGTTACGATTTGAAGATTCAATTAAGTGATATCGCAGAACAATACAGTCGATTCTTTTCTTTGTTTACCTGATAACGTGCGGACGTGTAGGGAAAACATTACAATCATACACTTTATTTTTTTTATGAAAACACTGGAGGTCAATTGAGAATATTGCTTTGTTGATTGGTTTCTGTTTCAATAAATGAACTACGTAAACTGTTTGTCATGAGCTATAATTATATTCAAACTAGAGTGGTATGTATGAATTCCTAAGATAAGCGTGACTTATAATCGTTTATCAGGATAACCTTGAGTTCAGTTGAAGTGTTAGTATTTAATATGACAACTAATGTCTTTAAATGCTGGAAACATAATTGGTTTCTTGGTAAACATTTAAAAGGTAACTTTATGTCAACCTCATTAAGATGGCTTTTGATTGTAGGTTTATCAATTCTGTTGAGACTGTTCGTAGAAAATTAGTATTGTTACTATTTACATATTAAAACAGTCTTTGTAGTAAAACGCCAATAACGTAATCCAATATTAACATTCCGTTACTAATATTTTGTAGTAATACAAACGTGATTTCATAAATATGAAACAAGATATAAAGTAGAGAGTTGTGTTTAATATAAAATTGTTAAGAGATATGAGAATGGCAGGCCCTTAAACGGAACTTGGGAATAACGGGTCGCAGCCCCAGGCTTTATGCTAATGCTTCGAACTCCGCAGATGCGATGAGCTGGCTCCGACGCGGTCTTTGGTGCCACTAACCCACATCTTGTCCCTCCAATGATGCGACTGTTTGTGTCAAATGCGTTCTCGAACACGCTCGTTATACTTTCATATTGATTGAAGAAAGTACTTAAAATTCGTGAGTTGAAAATAGGCACGTCTTAAACTTTTAAGAAATGATACAATTCTTGTTTATGAAGTTGAGAACAATTTTACTAAATTGTTGACTTATTAAAATTTATGTCACTATGAAAAAAAGTTAATTCTGTAGGGTTATAAAAGTTTTAATTTTATATCATAAATCCTAATTTCTTCTCGAAACAAGGTATTTTTTATGAAATAGTGAAAAAGAGACCTTGGAGATTTCATGCAACTAACAGTGTTCATTTCATTTAAATTACATCATTTAATATATGTCGTTTGTCAACAGATTCCAGCCCAAAAGCAGTGATTAGAACTGCAGGGCATTGATTGGTATGCGGCATGGAGGCAGACGCGGCTGTCGAAGAGTTTGTTACTATAGTGCCGGTTGGAGAAAATAGTATTGTTGAAGAGGATCCAGAATTTGTCACAGTACTCAACGTCAGTGTTACAAAAGGCGGCGCTGAAGTTGTTGTAAACAGGCCACGTGGTGCTCGATTAGGTCTAGGACTAAAGTTTGAAGGTGGATCAGCTGCAACAGAGAAAGTTCGAAGACTATTGGTACAATCATGTGCGGAAGATAGTCCTGCTGCGAATGCTTCTACTCCCTGGGGTAAATTGATATCAGGGGATGAAATTTTAGCTATAGATGGGACACCAGTATCTGAGTTAACAAGAATCGAATGTGTACGCCGTTTAAAAGATTCAGATGAAAGTTTAGTTCTTCTTGTCAGACATTTTGAAACATTGAATAAAGTAGATCAGCATAACATGGAAACAAAAGAAACAGCAATGACTGAGTCGAAAACTTTTGTTGATATATCAAGACCTCTGACTTTACCTCCCCCCGTCCCTCCAAGGAAATTGGGTAAGAAAAATTCCTTTAAGGATAAAACGACCCTTCAAACTGTGGGCGAACAGAACGCTCTCATAAATTTAAATCTGCCTGACAATGGTAACGATAAAGATAGCATTATAAGTGCATTGGTCCATCAACATTCGATGGTTTCAACTATGAACAAATTATCACGGAAATCGTCTTTTGATAGCCATATCCATCGTCAAACTAAGGAAAGTTTTGCACACTTAAAAAAAGGTTCTCCTGAAGAAGTGAGGCGTCTAGTACGTCGGCTATCAGATGGTAAAGCTATACCACCAGAAGCTGAAGTTTATATTGATTTACTTTCGAATGAGTGGGAGCGCTGTCTTGTCTTAGCAGATGCTGAATCAGACGATACAGGTAGTTCCATATCTACTGTAGTCGATAGACTAGGATCTATGGCTAGTTCTGTTGAGAATAGTATTCCTTCAACGCCAGTTATGCAACAGAAATCAATTGATATTCAAAAAGTACTCAATAGTATTGAAAATATAGATTCTGATATATTAAAAGACATGACGAATGTGAAATATTCTGAAACTAAAGTAGATAGAAATGATGATCTTAAAAGATGTTTAAGAAATTCTATGACAAATGGACAAAAACTTTCAAATACAGTTACAGAAAATATAAAACCAAAACAATGTGAAAACGATAACAATAACAACGAAACATCTAAAACTTTAGCACCGAACGATACGTCAGCGATAAATGACAAGAAAATGAAGGAGGATATAGTGCTCGATAAGCCTAAACCAATGCCACGTAGCACTAAAGTAGAACGTTCTGCAAGTGAAAAGAAACGTCGTCCTGTTCCAATACCAGAAGTACAGCCTCCTAACATTTCGGAACCACTTTTAACACCTACAAAGAAAACATGTATTGAGTCGTGGTTACAGCGCTCAGAAGCTGAAATGCAGAATACCCCGACAGAAAAAATAGAGGAACCTGCTATTCCTGAAGCATTACCACGTCTCATTGATTTTGTCCCCAAGAATCAGTACAAAGAAAAAAGTAATGAATCTCCATCATGTGTTAGACCTACAACGGCACCTCCTCCCCCACCAGTACCACCACCAGAGACCAGAGAAGATGGATCGGGAGCATCACTTGATACAATTGGCGAACTTGATGAATCCTGCGACGTGGTAGACAACGCGTGAGTATATTCTTATATATATTTATGTATAGCTTTATCTTAAACTCTTTTAAGAAGTTGAAAATAAAACAAGAGTCATTCACATATCAATTAGATAAAAACGATAATTTACTGACTGCGGAAATAGCAATTTGTTAATTTATACTTAACAGCACATAATATTTATTTTACTTAGAAACATGTTTATATAATACATCAGAAGGTAAACCTGTATTTTTTAATTATTTAAAAAATATTCTGACGACAGTTTTAAAGAAGGAACCATTATTGTTATCTATTAAAGTCAGATTATACGATAAATAAAAAAAATAATTTAAGTGTTCTTTTTAATATGTGGAACTAATTTATTATAAAAAAAATAATAATAAAATATAAAATTCTGAAAATTAAGACACTAAAGAAAAGAAATTTTGAAAATATTTAATTCATTTCCTTTTGTGGGTATAAAATGAAAAATATAATTAAATTTTTAAAAAATTCTTAGAAAACATCTTGAATAAAATACTATGAGAGTTTACGAGAGCTTTTATTAGTTTGAAGTTAATAACATGTTTTATAATTCTATCTTTACTGCAGATAAGGAATTCCATTTAGTATAATTATAATAATATTTACTATAAAGATCTTTTTATACATATATATGTATTTACTTTCACAAAGCAGTTTGTATCGCTTGAGTGCACAGATAACACCCATTTATTTAAATAACACTGAGTGCATTACCCTTTCGCTGTTTGCAGGTAGTGTATGTTAATATCGCAACTATTATAATAGAACAATCAAAATGATAATCTAAATTTGAAGATGATTTGCTTGAGAAGTAATAATAATAACTGTGTTTAGTATTTTGATATAATGTACACAACCTACATTTTTTTAATGACATATGGCTGTACTGATTAGGTTTGTCATTCGTTATGGAGATAAAACCACAAAGGTTTTATTTAAGTCAGTTGCTCTTACCGCTTATATAACTAAATTGGTTGAAGCTCGCTCAAAGCTATATTTTGTTATTGAAGAATTTATCTACTTTATATATTAGATTTGAATACATAATTAATTAACAACCTCAACACTGATAAATGTAGGTATGACATAAACTTTATTTATAGATTTAATAGAAACGAAATTGAAATATATTTTAGGATATTCTCGTTAAAAATGTTGTTTGTAAAATATTGATACGAGTAAACGAAGTTTATGTTCGTAATATTTGTTAATACAGCGCGGCGATGGAATTGAAACAAAGTATCAAAGGCAATATTGCTTCGTAAAAGTTATTTACAACAAATCTTTAGAAAGAAAGTATATTTTCACTTTACAAATAATCAGCGCTCGGAATTGAAAACATCCATTTATAAATATACCAGTGCACTGGTTAGAAATTAACTTGACTGTTGCAACGGAAACTAGCCAATGTCTCTTTACTCATACATTTTTACACAATAAAATAAGAATAAATTACAATCCCATATTGATACCTCTTAGATTGAATTGAAATTGTTATGTTAAGTAAAACGAAATGGGTAATTATTATCATTACTAAATATATTATTTAAATTTGACGCTATATAAAAATCAATCATTTAAAATTGTTTCAATAATAAAATAGAAAATTAATTTCAATGTAATTTAGAACACACGGCGTGTATTTTATTGAATAAAATGTGTTAATTCTGGTATACTAAATATCTTGATTTAACATTTTAATAACAAATTTAAAAGTCTTTATAGTTTTTATACATCAAATATTTTTAACAATTTCACAGGAAGACGTAGCTATAGATAAAGAAAATAATATTTTATAGAGTACGTGTATCACACGGAGTATTTTCAAACAAACTCAGTAACAATGCAAGTAGCGAGGGTGGTAACGGCCAACTGCACCCCCACTGCCTTCGCTCACCCTGAAAATGCAGCTGGCCTATACAACCTATTGTGAAAACTCTGTGACACGTATAGACGGCATGTACTCACATGTATCTTAACAATCCCGATAATGCGAGTTTTAAAACTCCTCAAGGTTTTTTAAAAGCAGACAAAATTGTTCTATTACATTCGTCAATTCTTTTATATTAAAAAGCTTAATTTATTTGTGAAAATATTAATGGGTTTGCATATTTAAACTTTATTGAGTGTCCCTAATTTCCAAAAGTTAATTCAACCGGTATTTGTTATTTATATCTAGCAGACAAATTTTTACATAACCGTTACTTCAACTGAGATTTTGACTCCTACTGTGAAACCGTTTTCGTGAAGTGATTGACATCTGACCCGAGTTTATCTACGAGTGTTATTGGATAAAAATTATTGTCAGGTTAACCTGAAAATAACTGTTATTTTCAAGTGAAAGAGTAAAGAAAGAAAGTATTTAAGATTTATATCGGAATTTAAAGCGAAGATACGAAAAAAAAAAAATCCGGAAAACATTGTCGATTCGCTTAATGCAGGTTAGACATGAAAGTGCTGTTTGATGCTAAGAGACAAAAGTTTACGTTATTCGTTTTGTTTAAACATAGTTTATAACCACTTCGTTTTATTTATATTTAATATATTTTATGAAATTTTATATGTTGTCAGATATAAAAAGATAATTAATGACTTCTAATTCACTATAATATAATGATCTTATAGACTTGACATTTCTATGAGTATTTATGTGACCTGAACATCATGACATTGATACAAAACACCAAAGTTTGATTAATGAACACCTCTTTTTGTTCCTTTTGTTATAAAACATTGCCTCATTTCTAAATTCTTTAGTGAGATATTTATTAATCTTTGTTTCATTTCTATGTATTCATGTATTAAAACAAATGATGATTGATTATTTCTTCTGTACCTTTTAAGTTTATTTATTTCTCTTATGAGATGTTGATATATTAGAGAGTACGAATACTTATTGAACTGGAGTTACCCTGTAATAAATTTAACTGATACGGATCTAACAACCAAATTCTGTCGAGTGAATGTAGCCTACGATATTTCTAATTGCTGCCGTGTTACACCCACCCAGTAACTGTATATATCGATACGGTCAGACACAAAACAAATGTTAAACGATTCTAACATTGTAACACAATCCTACTTTCGTTGTTTTGGTTACCATGTTCACAATATAAAAGAAACAAATGGATGTATGGTGCAGAACATACAATAAGAACTATGATATACCTTTACATACACTCAATACAAATAAGGTTTAAAACTTAGATTCGTGTCTTTTCATAAAACAAATAAACTATTTAATATAAAAATATTATACGGGTTGCGAAGGACAGATGAATTCGGATTCGTGGATTTACTTCCTTTATAAGCACTGTAATCTTTCTTAAGATGGCAGATTTCTTAGAACCGTAGATATTGCTTCAGCAATAGTAATTTCAAGCCACGGGTTGATATTACCCAAGAGTGATATTAATCTTTTATTTATAGGATACATAAAAAAGTAAATATAAATAAATTTATTTCTTTATATCCATTTAAATAGAAAGAGATTTATTTGATTTATATGACATTTTTATTGCACTAATTACTATTTGAGTTAGACATTCCATTGCCCTGATTTAGTAATGAAAATTGATATGAACGGAGAACACATTCACCTAAAATATTATTAATAACCGAGATACACTAATTGAAACTGACAATCTGTTTGGAATTTTATAGTCACTGAGTTATTATATTAGAATTATTTCAAAACGTCTATTTTAAATTTAATTCGGTAATAAATGATTTTGATCTAAATAAGTGTTTGTGACTAGTAAAGTGGTATAGAATATAATTATTCAAATGAATATGCTTAATCTATCTCCATACAAATTTTCACGCTTATTTATTCTGCCATTGTAACTCATAAAAAAATAAACACATTATTTTAAAAATTAACAATTAAAAATATATATTTATAAAAGACCCATATCTAACCAGAATAATTAATAATTTTATGTATGTATTTATATTTGTTGGTTCAAGATTTCCAAGTCCTAAAACCCAAGCATATTTCATTGAATATGTTAAGTTTTTGATTAGTTTACATTCGCTTGTTTACCCACGATACTATTGCATAAGCCTAGTGGTACAGCGATCAGTGCCAAATTGCTTTCAAATTAAATCTTTATAGAGCCAGAGAATTCCACTTAAGTTATATAACGAACTGAAACCAATTTGTAACAAGAAATTTTATAGAAGATACAAATATTATCATTTCACGATTTGCTTGTCTGTAAAATTAATATCAATTAAAGTTCATTTTGTTTCATGGCAACAAGCAATGTGCTAACGTATGAAATCATACTTGTCTGTTTTCCGCATATAATAAATTAAAAAATAATAAAAAAAAAGTTTTTTTTAAAAGATCACTTGTTCGCCTTCTTTTGTTTTTATTTTATTATATTGAATAATGCAACGCATACTTCAAAGAACATTAATAAACATGATTATAAAAAAAACAAGTAAAGATTAAAAATATTACACATCATAAAAGAAGTCACAATAATAGTTTTCATAAAAACAATTTCGATTAAATTAACATAAATGTGGTCCAGAAAACTTTAAGTGCTCTTCCAATAGTATCGCATTGAGGCTAATTTTATAAAACCGTATCCATCTGGCTTATGAACATGACCGCGATGAGGTAGCACATACATCCAACATGATCAAAGTAATATCGTGATTGTGACCTAGATGGAGATATTTGAAAGAGAAAACTGATGTTTGTAGCACAGTATAGTACGATATGTATCGGTTCTAAGAAATCTATAATAATTGATATTTATTACAGAAGTTTCTAAGCTATTTTCTATGTATATGTTAGTTTTATAATAGCCCAATGAATAGTAAAAGATGGTCGTTAATAAAATTCGAGTTGAACGTTCGAGGTCAAACTGTGATGGTCTCTGTAACGGAATATCTTCGGAGATATCGGCATAGGTATTCCATGAGCGTACGTGAAACACTTCGGTGTTATTTGCAATAGTTTGCCAAGAACCAATTTT